GTACTCCAGTCTGGGTGACAGAGTGAGACTCCAACTCAAAAAAAAAAAAAAACATCTCAGATTCACCACCACCTTCCATATCTTCTGCAGCTTCAGTGCCAACCTCGATGGCCTCTGGCCCTGCCGATTTAACCCATCTTCCTGGATCTGTATCTCTTTTCTCTAAACATTCTCCACATGGCTGCCAGAGCTATTTTTCTAAAATACACAGCAGACCACATTCTTCTCCTTAGATATATACTTAAAAAACCCCAAGAAACAAACAGAAGACCTCACCCTGCAGTGGCTCCACAGTGCGTACGGGATAACACCTACATTTCTTTCTTTTTTTGGGGGGGTTGGAGTCTCACTCTGTCGCCCAGACTGGAGTGCAGTGGCCGCTCCCGGCCACCTCAGCCTCGACCTGCTGGGCTCCGGCGATCCTTCCGCCTCAGCCTTTCGAGTAGCTGGAACTACAGGTGCACGCTGCCACGCCCGGCTAATTTTTAATTTATTGTAGAGATGAGGTCACGCCAAGTTGCCCAGGCAGGTCTCGAACCCGCGGTCTCAGGCAATCCACTCACCTCAGCCTCCCAAAGTGCTGGGATTAAAGACTGAGCCACCGAGCCCGGCTACCCACCTTTCTTAAGATGGCATTTGAGGTCCTTAACCCTTTGTCCCTGTCCTGCCATCCCAGTTCTACTTCTCAGCCTTCCCACCTCGGCCAACTCCAGTCACACTGGGTCAGCCCAGGAAGACATACCATATGCTTGTGCCTTTGAGTCGAAACTCACTGTTTTTCCTGTTCGGAGTTTGTGCGCTTTATGATGCATCTGCCAATCTCCTCCTCCACACCCTTTCCCCCTCACACAACAAGCTACTGCCTCCCCTGGGCTCTGGGGGCCTTCGGAGAGCCAACCCAGCACCCTCCAGAGGCCTCTGTGCTGTTCAAACCCACAATTTCCACAAATGCTCATCACAAAATCCCCGTGCCTCATATGCAGCAAGAATTCAAACACTTATAAAAAACATTTTGTCCAATATGACGTGAAACATGTGAAAACAGGAAGGCAAGAGTTCTGCCCTTTTTGTCTGTCCGTTGCTTGTTTGCAGACATTCGCCCATGGGCAGTCTGGTGGCTTGGTTTATTCAGGAAACACATACATGGCTTATTACCAAAAACTGCTACACGTGTTCTGTTTGGGTGCAGGTTAGTTTGTAATAATGATAACAATATGAGTCAGCAATAATAATACTAATAATAATGACGATAATGATGATGATGAGTGAGAATTTTTTTGTTCTAAACCAAATCCGGGAGCACTCCCATGACAAGAAGTCAAATTTCTTTTCTTTTCTTTTCTTTTTTTTTTTTTTGAGTCAGAGTCTCACTCTGTCGCCCAGACTGGAGTGCAGTGGCCGCTCCCGGCCACCGCAGCCTCGACCTGCTGGGCTCTGGCGATCCTTCCGCCTCAGCCTTCCGAGTAGCCAGAATTACAGGCATGCGCTACCAGGCCCGGCTGATATTTTGATTTATTGTAGAGATGAGGTCTCGCTGCCCAGGCGGGTCTTGAACCCGCAGGCTCAGGCAATCCACTCACCTCAGCCTCCCAAGGCGTGGGATTACAGGCTGAGCCAACGAGCCTGGCTTTTATTTATTTATTTTTTGAGTTGGAGTCTCACTCCGTCGCCCAGACTGGAGTGTAGTGGCTGCTCCCGGCCACCGCAGCCTCCACCTGCTGGGCTCCGGCAATCCTTCCGCCTCAGTCTTCCGAGTAGCCGGAATTACAAGCATGTGCTACCACGCCCGGCTGACTTTTTCATTTTATTGTAGAGATGAGGTCTCGCTGCCCAGGCGGGTCTCAAATCCGCGGGCTCAGGCAATCCACTCACCTCAGCCTCCCAAAGGAGCGAGATTACAGGCTGAGCCTCCGAGCCCGGCCCAAATTTATTTATTTTGAGTCAGAGTGTCACTCTGTCGCTCATGGCCACTGTAGCCTTGAACTGCTGGCCTCAGGCGATCCTCCTGCCTCAGCCACCCAAGTTTCTGGCACTACAGGTGCATGCCACTACGCCTGGCCAATTTTTTGATTTATTGTAGAGATGAGGTCTTGCTAAGTTGCCCAGGCTGGACTCGAACCTCTGGGCTCAGGCAATCCTTTCTCCTCCACCTCTCAAAGTGCTGGGATGACAGGCATGAGCCACCGTGCCCAGTCAAGAAGTCAAATTTAGGCCATCAATGTGGAAAAAGGGAAGGCTATCATTGTGCAGCTATAAGGAGGTAACTGATATAGAAAGCCCACCATCAGGGGCTTTAAGCACTTTGATAAGCTTCAGGCTCTCTGCTCATCTCCTTCCCCCTCACAGATCATCTGAAATAACAGAATAATCATCTGAAAGTAATGCAGTTCTATCACAATGTCAAAAATGAGAGCTCGTGTGATTTATTCCTTTCCTAGGTCAGAGTTTCCCACTTGAAGTGCCGAGGAAGAAGCTGAAGTGAGATTCTCCACCCCAGGGTAGCTGGTATTGGCTGGTATGAGCAGCTGCTTTCATGTCCCCCACCATGGGATAATATCATGCTTTTAGTATCAGGATGTGACAAAGAGGCTGGGTGCGGTGGCTCATGCCTATAATTCCAGCACTTTGGGAGGCCGAGGTGAGAGGACTGCCTGAGCCTGCAAATTGAAGAACAGCCTGGGCAACTTGGGGAGACCTCATCTCTGCAATAAATAAAAAAATTAGCCGGGCATGGTGGCGCATGCCTGTAGTCCCAGCTACTGGGGAAGCTGAGGCAGGAGGATCACCTGAAGCCAGCAAGATGAGGTTGTGGTGGCCATGAGCATGTCACTGCACTCCAGCCTGGGTGACAGAGTGAGATTCTGACTCAAAAAAAAAAGATGTGACAAAGGCCGAGAAGCACTGTCCTAAACATTTCTACTATTTAAATAACACACTGAGCCGGGCTCAGCGGCTCAGCCTGTAATCCCGCGCCTTTGGGAGGCTGAGGTGAGTGGATTGCCTGAGCCCGTGGGTTCGAGATCCGCCTGGGCAGCTAGACCTCATCTCTACAATAAATAAAAAAATCAGCCGGGCGTGGTGGCGCATGCCTGTAATTCCGGCTACTCGGAAGGCTGAGGCACAAGGATCGCCGGAGCCCAGCAGGCGAGGCTGCGGTGGCCGGGAGCGGCCACTGCACTCCAGTCTGGGTGACTGAGTGAGACTCCAACTCAAAAAATAAATAAATAAATAACACACTGAATGCTCCCAAGTGACACTCTTCCTTATCTTAGGAAGGAAATCTGTTGTGTAGCTCTACGGGTCCTGCACACAAGATCTTAAAAAGGAAAAAGCCAAACCCCAATGGCAGACATGGGTTTTTTTGGGAAGAGAGTGTCAAGAAAAACAGCAAATACTGTACTATTAATTACTCCCCCAACAGAACGTAATGATTTCCGGCACCATGACAACACAGACAGGGAAGGATTTCTAGAGCGTGTTACTCACAGTTCCGACCAAAGGGTAAATGAATCCAGCGCCTATGCTGGCCCGGACATCAGTGATAGGTAAGATGAAATCCTTCGGCACGCCTTTTTTGTCAGGCTGGTGAGATAGAGAAAGGTGGGTCTTTGCCATGCAGATGGGCAAATTCCCAAAACCCTGTAATAAAGGAAAGAGAATGTGTTCACGGACATAGTTGTGAGTTTTCTGGATGTGTTGAACGTGCACTTGACAGCACCCTGCAACAACAGAACGTGGGCTCGGGTCCAGACCCGCACAGGAGCTGTTTGTTCTACTTGTTCACTGAGCAAGAAAGAAGTTGAGGATGAAAATGTATCTCCATGGGATCTTGATTTAGCAGGCTGAGGGTGACCATTGCTTATTTTGGAGGTTCTCTAAGAGAAGGCAGCGTTCTGTGCATGTCTGGGGAAAGCATGGCTATTTTCAGGCATAGTGGCAGTTGTAGAAGCCACTTTCCAAGGCTATTAATATCCGGACCCAGCAAGGTAGTCTGGAGAAAGTCTCCGAGATGAGGCTTTAGTCATGTTCACTCATTCTTAGAGTCTGCCAGGAAGCAAAGGGCCCCTTTGTGCTGGTGTATGAATCATGGCTATTTGATCTGTAATTACATTATAGGAACTAAGATGAGGTCACTATTTCAGCCTCTTATTTTTAAGAACCAAAGTCTATGCCTGACCCCAGAGTTCCAAAGGTGGAAGGGCAGGAAGTCACATGTGGTGTCTCACAAAAAGGACAGTGTCTTAAAGCCTGATTCTGATTAAATGGCACATAGTGTTCCTTTAGAGACTTTGCTCATTGATTGCAAGCACATACTTGACACTTAACTTTTAAGGAATATTCCCTTGATAGACAGCCACAGATAAAAGGAATGTAATCTTTAGTCTTTAGAGGTAAACCATGTAGAATTTCTTATGATTCAGCCTAAAGCTCTTTAGAAGATTCTAGAGTCTTATCAATTGGGGGAAAGGTTGGGGCCATTCTCTTTTTGAAATCCCTACTCTTCTATCCTGATAAGAATTCTGCAGGAGGCCAATCACAACTGCCTTATAGAAATGGTGCCAGAATTTTGAATTTCAGAGACTAAATACTGAAATAATTTCTATTACAATATAGGTTTGCAAATTCACAATTTTTTCCAGTAGAAATGTTAAAAAAAACATGCACACAACAATAAGCTATACACCGTCACCATATTACTGCATAAAAGAATATTTTAAAACTAAAAAAAGGATAAAAGATTTAACAATAGAACAAATGATACTCCTAAATAGCATTATTAAACTCATAAAAAAAAAAAAAAACAAACAGCCTCATGACAACGACCTTTACTCAGTTTATTCCACACACACGGGAATTTCACCACATCACCAGCACACAGACCAGTGTTTGGGATTCCTGTCTGTAGAGGATAATCCAAGAGCATGTGTGGAAAATTCTAAGAAAAACTGAGTTGCTGTCTCTCTTACCAAACCTGGGAGAATACCCTAGTGGGCAATGGTAGTATTAACAAAATGTCAAGTAGGATTTACAAATAGAATTAAAGAATTGGGAAATTTTTTTTTTAAAAAGGTATAGCAATGCTCCCCTCAATGAAGCTCTTTGACCAGCAAGTTCTTGCAGTGCTCTGGCTTCCATCTCATCATGCCAATCTGGATGGAGTACTCAAGGCATATGTCCTTTGGTCAAGGTGGCTGAGCATACTGCATGGAGTCCACTGACCATGACTGTCATAGGGCTAGGCAGAGACTCATGCTGCTGGATCACAGTCTTCTTCCCAGTTGTTTATCTAGAGGTTGTCACTTCTAGAGGTGAAGACGGTGGCACCTTCAATCTCGTTGGACAAGCCCAACAAGCCAATAAACCATGGATATAAAAAGCACACCAAACATCCCCATCTTTTTTCTTTTTTTTGAGTTGGAGTCTCACTCTGTCGCCCAGACTGAAGTGCAGTGGCCGCTCCCGGCCACCACAGCCTCGACCTGCTGGGCTCCGGCAATCCTTCCGCCTCAGCCTTCCAAGTAGCCAGAATTACAGGCGTGCGTTACCACGCCCGGCTGGTTTTTTGATTTATTGTAGAGATGAGGTCTTGCTTGCCCAGGCGGGACTCGAACCCGCGGGCTCAGGCAATCCACTCACCTCAGCCTCCCAAAGGTGTGGGATTACAGTCTGAGCCACTGAGCCCGGCTGAACATCCCCATCTTTAAGTGCTGCTCCTATTTGCCCAATGTGACTCCATGCTACCATTTTTTAAGGTAGTAAGAAGTCTGCAAGGCAGAGGAAGCACTGTAGATCACCAAACTCTAACTCCAAAGGACAGTTTCAGTGAAAGAAACTGAGATCACATATCACCTCTCTAATGTGGAAACCACGCATATTAGACACATTTATCATTACAGAAGTCAATGATGCATGCATCTGAGGATATGTCTTTCATAGTGTTCTAAATACAGTCAACACACTACCTAAAGATGTTTACTTTACGTTCTGTTGACCATAAAGTAGATTAAGCAAAGACCTCTCAGTTGGTGAGAAATACACAAGTTTCCAAGTTAAGATATTTTGGGAGCTGAAGGTGAGTCTTTTTTTTTTCTCCCTTAGAAGTACAACTTTTACCTGTTGAGTATAACGATCTATTTTCAATTGTGCCTCAGGAGAGAGTTCGATATCTTTGGCTCCATAGACAGCCTGGGCAATGGTTCTTATCTTTTCCACAATTGGGAGCTGGAGAAACACAAACAACAATAAAACTATTTACTTTAATGAGGCTGAACAATTAAGGAAAAACTTAGTGAGATTTTTCTGTCCTTGCTTCAATTCCCTAGCAGAGAACCTTCCACGTTTATAGCAAACTCTCTTTTCTCCTTCTATCACCCTTAAAGCACTGAAATCTTCAGATCAGATGGCAACTAATAAATAGGGAACCTTAGATGTTCAGCCAGTTTCGAGGTTGCCATTTTTATACTTAGCAGCATTTTAAAACATGTAGTTTATTCTATGCTTTCTAACAATCATTGTGTCAACACAAGAATCTCCCAACTAAAGCACTGGTGCTGGGTTTTGTTTGTTTGTTTGTTTGTTTGTTTTGAGTTGGAATCTCATTCTGTCCCTCAGACTGGAGTGCTGTGGCCTCTCCCGGCCACCGCAGCCTCGCCTGCTGGGCTCCGGTGATCCTTCCGCCTCAGCCTTCCAAGTAGCTGGAACTACAGGCGTGCGCTACCACACCCGGCTAATTTTTGGTTTATTGTAGAGATGAGGTCTCGCCAAGTTCCCCAGGGGAGTTGTGAACCCACGGGCTCAGGCAATCCACTCACCTCGGCCTCCCAAAGGCGCGGGATTACAGGCTGAGCCACCGAGCCCGGCTGGTGCTGGTTTTTAAGTGGGTCTACATACTGGCTCATAGTATGGCTACAGAAAAAGTAGCAATACCAAAACCAAGTGTATTTATTTTGTGAGCAGGGATGGGTTGAGGTTTCAATATAAATGCTGATGTGATCAAACACTTAACTGGAAAATAAGAGACTGAACCGTCACTTTAGCAAATTATGAGAAATCATGTGGCTTGGGAGAAACATGACAAGTGCCGTGGGGAGAGGATTTCCAAAATGCAGGATGGAAGACCTGGATGCAGACTGCATACGGAAAGGGATCTTTTTTTTTTTTTTTTGAGTTGGAGTCTCCATCACCCAGGCTGGAGTGCAGCAGCACGCCAATGGCCACCACAACCCCAACCTGCTGGGATCAAGTGATCCTTCCGCCTCAGCCTTCCCAGTAACTGGGACTACAGGTGCACACCACTACAGCTGGCTAATTTTTTTGATTTATTGTAGAGACGAGGTCTCACCAAGTTGCCCAGACTGATCTCGAACCCATGGGCTAAAGCAATCCTCTCATGACCTGCTGGGCTCTGGCGATCCTTCCATCCAAGCCTTCCAAGTAGCCGGAACTACAGGTGAGTGCTACCACTCCCGCCTAATTTTTATTTGTATATGGTAGAGATGAGGTCTCGCCAAGTTGCCCCAGGTTGGTATCAAACCCGTGGGCTCAGGTAATCCTCTCAACTTGGCCTCCCAAAGTGCTGGGACTATAGGCATGAGCCACCGCGCCCAGCTGGAAAAGGATCTTAAGAAACAAAATGAAAAAAAAAAAAGAAAGAAAATGACTCATTCGCAAAGAAATATTCTGCTGATAAAGTGATTCTGGCCGGGCTCGGTGGCTAAGCCTGTAATCCCAGCGCTTTGGGAGGCCGAGGTGAGTGGACTGCCTGAGCCCGCAGGTTCGAGACCCACCAGGGCAACTTGGCGAGACCTCATCTTTACAATAAATCAAAAATTAGCCAGGTGTGGTAGCACGCGCTTGTAGTTCCAGCTACTTGGAAGGCTGAGGAGGAAGGATCGCCAGAGCTCAGCAGGTCGAGACTGTGGTGGCCGGGAGCGTGCCACTGCACTCCAGTCTGTGCGACAGAGTGAGACTCCAACTCAAAAAAAAAAAAAAAGTGATTCTGAATTTAAGAGATGCATTTGACGCAGTTGTTCATAATTTTATGGTGGGTAGAAAATACACACATGCATGGTGCTGTTCGTGGATTTGTTGTTTGCTGAACAACTGCTGAACTGAAGGCTGATGGAACAGGCATCCACCAGGGAGCCGGGCCTCTCCTGGCATGCCTCAAGGACATGGCCTGGCAATGGAAAATGGCCCCTTTGTATGAAACACTGTTGATACAGATGAGTTGCCCAACAAGAGAAAATAGAAGCCAGGACTCCCTCTCAGCCCTCTCAACCCTGAAAAAACCCCAAGCTACTTTAATCCTTTACCTGTCTAGGAAAAAAAAAAGTGCAGCTTGCAGCCACGTTCATTTAATTTTACGTAAAGACACTCTTCAAGTTTGAAGCAAATATGACTGGTTTTCAATGTGAAAATAAAAGAAGGAGAAGAAGAGGAGGAGGAGAACTACTATTTTTGTAATTCTCTCTCTCTTTTTTATCTCGGGGTAAACACTGCAGCCACAAGCACTGCTGGGGAGTATCCTCGGGTTAAATGGGAAAAGGGTTAAAACATGTTTTTCATTACTATAGCTTTTATTATTGCAGAGTTGCTATGTGGTCTGGAACTCAAATATTGGGCATTTCAGCAAATAAAAAAGAACTGAAGGTGCAAGTGTTATAACCTTCCACTGAGAGACATAAAAAGGGTCTAAGTCAATGGAGAAAAATACTTTGCTCATGGATGAAGAGACTTAATACCGTACAGACGTCAGTTCTCTTAACTTACCCTATCCGTTCAATGCAACTCCAATAAAAATCCCAATATCACTTTTGGTTGCTTGGTCAACTAGTTCTAAAGTTCATAACGAAGAGTCATGACATAAATAAGGGAACTTAAAAAATAATGCAAACCAAAAGAACAAAGGACTTTTCTATCTATTATCAATCATGCACAAAACTATGCAGATTAATTATTCTGTGGATATCGGCACTGATATGGAAGAATTAATCAGTGGAGGAGAAGAAAGATCTCAGAAAGACACCTCAGCAGGGATAGGATAGTATCTAACAGAAGTGCCACAAATCAAAACAGAAAGCGCTGACTACCCAACTGGCTTTTGGATGGAGAGAAATAAAATTTGATTCCTACCACACACCAGGCCCCCAGATAGATCCAATATGGAACAAAGGCCTAAACTGGAAAATTAAACCTCTAAATATTGGAAGAAAACAGTGGAAACGCTGTTAGCCTGAGGCAGGGAAGGAATTCTTAAATGAAGTGACAACAGAATTAGCCATAAAAGAAATGATTTATGGGTTTGACTACATCAAAATTTAAAGCTTCCTTTTTTTAAAATTTTAAAAAAAGATATTATAAACAAGGTTATAAGATGAGAGACAGACTGAGAGTATGTGCAAATGTTTATAAAGTCAAAGGATTAGGACTAGAATAAATTTCTTAAAGTCTCCCACAAATAAAAAAAGACAAGCAAATATTTAGTAACAGATATAAGCAGTGCCTAATAATCATATAAAAAATGTGCAATTGCATTAGTAATAAAAAAATGCAAATTAAAACGATGAAGAACCAATTCATACTTAGTAAATTAGCAAAACTGTAAGGTATAATAATACCAGGTATAGGTGAAGATGTGGGGAAAATGCTACTTCTCTGTGCTCTTGCCTTGGTTGGAATGCTGATGGGCTCTCCTGCCATAAAAGAAAGCTTCCTGGCTGGGCTTGGTGGCTCAGCCTATAATCACAGCACTTTGGGAGGCCGAGTTGAGTGGATTGCCTGAGCCCACGGGCTCGAGACCCGCCCAGGCAACTTGGTGAGACCTCATCTCTACGATAAAATAAAAAATTAGCCGGGCGTGGTAGTGCACGCCTATAGTTCCAGCTACTTGGAAGGCTGAGGTGGAAGGACCGCAGAGTCCAGCAGGTCGAGGCTGAGGTGGCTGGGAGCGGAAACTGCACTCCAGTCTGGGCAACGGAGTGAGACTCCAACTCAAAAAAGAAAGAAAGAAGAAAGAGCCGGGCTCGGTGGCTCAGCCTGTAATCCCGCGCCTTTGGGAGGCTGAGGTGAGTGGATTGCCTGAGCCCGTGGGTTCGAGACCCGCCTGGGCAGCAAGACCTCATCTCTACAATAAATCAAAAAATCAGCCGGGCGTGCTAGCGCATGCCTGTAATTCCGGCTACTCGGAAGGCTGAGGCAGAAGGATCGCCAGAGCCCAGCAGATCGAGGCTGCGGTGGCCGGGAGTGGCCACTGCATTCCAGTCTGGGCGACAGAGTGAGACTCCAACTCAAAAAAAAAAAAGAAAGAAAGAAAGCTTCCTAATGGGTTCTTCACTTCTAACACACTCTCTACTGCAAATGATCGAACTTTCCTAACACATAGCAAGAAAAATCCTCAAATCTGCAGCTTTCCATGACCTATAGAACAAAACCTGCTTCCAACGTGTAAGTGTCTACACAATCCATCCTGTGAAGCATAAGTAGACACATCCCTGTGTCCTGAGATTTCGCCCCATCTTCTTGCTTCTAGTACCTGCGCATAAAGCCTCTTTCTCTGGAATCGTCAAAGACCAATCTTTGTTAAAACTCTCTAAGATACAGTCTCAAAACCACCACGAAGCCTTTATGGATTCCCCTCAAGCACACATGAGCATTCTCTTTTTTGATGTCCAAATGCCCTGTGGCGCTCTCACCTGCTGATTCAGAGGAAATAGGGTCAGCAGGGCTTGAACCCGAGTGGCTGGCAGCAGAGCCTGCACCATCTTGGGATGCCCTACTGTAGCACAAGCCCTAATAGTCCCAGGATACTTGGCAGGACCAAACTGACACTGAAATCTCTTGGAGGGCCAGGGGCCTTTTGTAAGCCATCTCATATGAAAAATTGGAAGGGTCTCCATTGCTAGAAAGGATGACTTTGGAAAGAAATGATCAGAATGTCCAGGAAGGTAGAATGTGAACCAAGGAACAAAAATGATTAAGTTAGTTATGCTAGCCCAATGCTTAAGAAATAACTAGAACTGTCAGGCTCAGTGGCTCATGCCTGTAATCCCAGCACTTTGGGAGGTGGAGGTGAGAGGATTATCAGGGGTTTGAGACCAGCCTGAGCAACATGGCAAGACCTCGTCTCAACAATAAATCAAAAAGAACAATTCAGCCAGGCATGGGTGGCATGTGCCTGTAGTTCCAGCTACTTGGAAGGCTGAGGCGGAAAGATCACCTGA